AAAAAAAAAACAGAATATCATGACTCATCTTTTTTTTTCCTTAGTGGAAAATGTCATATATATAATATTCCATTCCACAAAAGGAACAACATCATGTTATTGACTCTGCTGAGAAATAAAGACTGTGATTCTGTAAGTGACACAATCTCACAACGAAATTAAAACAGGTAAACAACTGCAATAAAGACAATAATATAATATAATATTATATAATATAATATAATATAATATAATATAATATAATATAATATTAAATGGCAGTTGTGGCAAAAAAAAAGAAAGAAAGAAAGAAAGAAATAAAGAGAGAAAGAAAGAAAGAGAGAAAGAGAGAAAGAGAGAAAGAGATAAAGCAAAGGTAACACTTTATAAGTACACAATAATAAAGCACCAAAGTATAATTTGCAAAATGTTACTTAAATGGTTACTCCACCCCAAAATGAAAATTTTGTCATTAATCACTTACCCCCATGTCGTTCCAAACCCGTAAAAGCTTTGTTCGTCTTCGGAACACAATTTAAGATATTTTGGATGAAAGCCGGGAGACTTGTGACTGTCACATTGACTGCCGAGTAAATAACACTGTCAAGGTCCAGAAAAGTATGAAAGACACCGTCAGAATAGTCCATCTGCCATCAGCGGTTCAACCGTAACGTTATGAAGCGACGAGAATACTTTTTGTACGCGAAGAAAACAAAAATAATGACTTTATTCAAGAATTCGTCTGTCAATGTGACAGTCACAAGCCTCCCGGTTTTCATCCAAAATATCTTAAATTGTGTTCCGAAGACGAACTAAGCTTTTACGGGTTTGGAACGACATGGGGGTAAGTGATTAATGACAAAATTTTCATTTTGGGGTGGAGTAACCCTTTAATAGTTTATTCATAGTTTATAAATTGTAGCTTCAACTTTTAAATAAGTGTAATAATCATGTAATAAGTGCAATAGAAATGTCTTTATTTATTGTCACTGTAATTTACAAATTATTATTTGTAAATGAATAATTATGAGACTGTTTTGCATTTAACACATATGCCTTATTTACATAATTATAACTCCCTGTTCTATGTGACTTTTTAGAGTTTTAAGAGATTTTTTATTTTACTTGACATAGGAGAGGCCCAGTGGAAGAAAATTATCTGTATACTGGTATATTGCAACTATTGTCACTGTACATTTTTTTCTGCCTGTTAGGTTATTATTATAATTAATTTTTTTATTTTTTTACTTTATTTATTTTTTTAACTGGTTCTATTTAGGATTAGGAATAGGGTTAACGGATCTGAAATATATCTATGGTTCATGAAATCATGAAAACGTTATTAAGTAATAGCAAATAAATGTTTATTTATAAAGTAAATTCCTACACATTTATGATTTTTTATATATTTTTGGGAAACTTACTATGAAATAATTGAACAAATATCAAGTAAAGGTTAGAAACACTTAATTAATCTAATGGCAATTTAGTTTTTTTCGTGACCTAATCTAAAGTGACTATTGAATATTTTCTCCTAATAACCATAAACAATGACTTTACTACTGAAGAATCACTATTTGTATATATTAAGGTATTAACAAGAGACTACAGTTTTGAATGAACTTTAAACGAATAGTTTGCGAATGATTTAGAGGTTAATTCAGGATAATTGTACCTGAATGTACCTGAATTGAACCTATAAGTGCTTTGTTACTGTATACTTATTATAAAATGTTACAAAAATGACACTCTCTGTCTCTATGTACATGTGTGTTTATTATAAGTGTGTAAGTATGTGTTAGTGAATGTTTGTACATGTGTGTGTGTTTGTAGCTCTTACCTTCTTTTTGTCCCTCATGGAGCCTTTCCCTCTCACCATGATCTTACATCCTGTCTCTGCCTCCAGCTGTTTGGCTGTGAGCCCCCGCGGGCCCAAGATCCGGCCCACAAAATTAAACTGCAACACACAAACACACACATCTCACTCACTGCATCTGCGTCCGGATGGAGCGATAAAGGATTTGACATTTGACAAGTCCCAGTTTGCATCAACAACGCTATAAAATGTACATTTCATGTTACTTTTGAATTTCTTCTGTATAGTGAAGCATTATTATGCAGGGGGCAATACACATAATATTCTCAAGTTTGAAGTCATTTTAATGTAATTCCTAATTCCTAACACACACACACACACACACACACACACACACACTGGCTCCTACCTGGTTGCTTATCACACTCAGTACAAGAATTATAATTACCATTTTTAAGCCCTTCATGGTCCTGCACCACAATATTTAGCTGATCTGATTCATCCTCATTCTCCTGCTTTCTACTCTTAGGCCTTCTGGAGACCGTTTATGGTACAAAAACTGTCGATGGGGCGGTGACCTTTCAAAAGGCACTAAAATGTACAATTTAGGTACTAATATGTATACTTTAGGTAGTGATATGTACCTCTAAGGTACTAATATGCACCCTTTAGGGGTAAATATGGTTTTGTTACCACCCCAGTGACAGCTTTTGTACCTTTTTTCAGAGAGTGAACAGCTCTTTATTTGATGGAAGGTCTTTCAGTGTCTTGACCCCTACAGTACATACTGGAAATCCCTCCCCCAGCG